AAGAAAGAAAGAAAGAAAGAAAGAAAGAAAGAAAGAAAGAAAAAGGATTTTCTTTTCACCTTTCCACCTCCCCCACTTTTCCAGCTCGCTTGCTCGCTCGCCCTCTCGCTCCCTTTCGCCCATCCCGCCAGCTCACCATCGCGTCGTAGTGCAGGATGTTCATGAACTTCACCACTTCGCGCCCTTGGAAGTAGTGGAACCAGGTGGTGCCCTGATACTGATCCCCGGCATCCAGGAGCAGCACGTTGCGATGCGAGGCGCGGATCTCCCGGATCTTCGCGGCCCTCCGCGCGACGCCCCCGTAGCAGTCCTCCCCGGTGCATTTGCCGGAGTCTCGGCTCGTTTCCTCTACTCGGGCGTGCACGTCGTTGGTGTGCAGAATGGTGAGCTCGAAAGAGCCGGCGGCGGCAACCGAGAGCGCGGCGCAAAAGCAGACGGCTCCGACGAGCCGCCGCATGGCCGAAGGGGCGCTTCGAGGGCAACCCGGAGCCCCACACCGCTGCCTCAGGGTCAGCATGGCGGTGGCAACTCGCGTGCCTGCCCTCCCTCGCCGGTGCCAACCAGCCCTTTTAGGCACAAGAGTGCGGGGGAAGGATCTGGAGGAGGAGGAGTTTCACGAGACGGCGTCCCACTGCTGTCTCACCAACGAGCGCAAATTGGTATCTTGACTACTAGGCCTTTAGCTCTTTCTTCCTTCCTTCTTACTCAACTTTGATTCTGGGATCCTGGCTCTAAGGCAGTTTAGACTTAGACTGAGATTGAGATGTATTTGATTTGTCAATCGCTTACAAGATAATAGGTATAAGTATATACATACTTATGAATACATGAAATGGGTACAAGAAAGAATCCGATGCCCAGGTTGGGAGGAGGGATATTTGTGGTTATGTTGTGAGCTTCAGCCCTGATACCATCGGTGAAATTTAACACCTCCAGACATAAAACGGGACTTTATTAAGAGATTTGTCCAAGCTTTTCATCTGAAAGTTCCACCAGTTCCAATAGTTTACTACCCACTGGATTCTAAGGAGCGGAGAAGCCAGAGACCTTCCATTCAAACAAAAGTACAAGTTGTAGAGGTTGTGGTTTTACAGTTAATCCTGCCAGGTCCATAAAACTTCAAAATGGGCACTTTCTCCAGCCAGTGGTAGGTGACTCCTATTAGCAAAAAAGGGTTTCTGCTAGGCTGTGGTTTCTTAAAGGATGGTGGGTGAAGGGCTTCCCAGAATTTGAATCATCTGGTGACCTCTTCAGAAGAAAGTCATTGGAAGTTGGAACCTACTTTGTTTAAAGTTTGCGTGGCGCCTTTTATCTCTATTACAAACCAAAGTGACGCTTACTCCTCTATCCTTCACTCTTCCATATGAAACCATGGAAAGCAAAGCACTGAATCATTAGCTGCACTGCTGTACTTTTAAGTATATTCTGTTGAACTAAAGGAGATGTGATCACAAGCATGTTTTATTGGCAGGCCTCTAACCTCCTACCCTTCCACAAAGCTTTGACTGCCTGTACTTGGCTTTTCTCCTGCACTGGGATGCAGTTGGATAATTACACCTTAGGAATTTGACTTCACCTAGGTCCTTGTTGTTCTGAACGCTTTAATCTGTTTTATATGCTAATATAAATAATATTTTAATATGATTTTGTGTTGCTTTATCTTTTGATTGGGAGCTGCCCAGAGTTGGTTAGAAGATGGGTACATCTTTTAAATAAAGATAAATCAATTGACTAGGCCTGATGGTTGGGTCAAGCAAAAATCATTATCATGTAAAATCTGTTGTTTTTCTCTTAAATAAGCTAATAATGCTGGTTTGCACAGAGGTGAAATATAGGTCACAATTCATTTTAGTGATTGAAACCAGAAAGTATTAGCCTTTTATATCAAGAATGCATAAGTTAGCTTTTGGATGGCATGCTGAGAAAGTCTGTGGTCAAAAATAAGTAGTTGAGTTAAGACATTCCTTTACAGATACATTTTGTTACTATTTTACATATGATTTCCTTCCGGTTGTGGGTTTAAATATTGACACGTCATCTAAAAATGTACAAACTGGAGGTTTTAAATAATTAACTTTCTATTTACAAAGCAAGTGCTATCACCTTTGTGCTATTAAAACACTCAGTGTAAAAATAGATTTGAAAGACATAAAAAATGGATGGATGGATGGTTCTTGACAGACTTGAACACTGAGCCCTTAACTAACAAAATAAAATTCAATGTTATTTAAAACCAAAAGACATCTTTTTTTTTCTAATTATATTTTTCTTTCCTTGAGCTTCTTACCTTTATCTGGACATGAAAAACAAAACAAAACCCTCCAGTGGCGAACTATTTTACTGTTTTTCGGTCATCTGAGATAGAGAGATTTCACCTTTGGAAACTACAGTTGAAACTATAAAATTGTTTAAGACTTTTTAAAAAATAATTTATCACTCTGAAGCATTGGAGGTTGGTGGGTAGGTTTTGAAAGATGTTTCTTATCTATTTAGACATTACGTTGCAATAAAGGATTTTTTTTCTCAAAATGCCCAGGAACGCAATTTGAAGATTTAGCAAGATGATTTATTAGAAGTTTTAAAGAAGAGATTGGATAACCATTTGTCTGAAGTGGTGTAGGGTTTCCTGCCTAAGCAGGGGGTTGGACTAGAAGACCTCCAAGGTCCCTTCCAACTCTGTAATTCTATTCTATTCTATTCTATTCTATCCTATTCTATCCTATTCTATTCTAAACATTGGAACAGTGCCATTTTATTGTGCTATTTATTGTGAGTTGGACTAAGGAGAAATTTCCTAAGGGTGAGACCAATCAAGTTGCCATGCCCACCCAGTCACATGCCCACCCAGTCACATGCCCACCCAGCTGGTCATTAGGGCAGAGAACCAATTGTTAAATTATTTGAATCCCACTACTGAACAAAGGGGCAAAACCTACTTTTCTATAAGTTTCCCCAAAGTGTGTCTTCCAAGTGGCTTTTAATCTAAAAACCAATGAAGGCAATCTCTTTTTAAATGCTTCAAATTTCATCCAGATATTTCAAAGGATATTCAGTTTATGGATAACCATGAACAATTTTATATTTTCATTTGATTATAAAAACTCCTTGGGCAAAGCGGTGGGGCAAATAGACAAAGGCAAATATATGTGTCCCAGGATAAAGTTGCATAATCCAATCTGAGTCAGTCATTGGGATCAGAGGTTTTGTCTTCCAAGCTTCAAGACTCATGCTGGAGCCCATCCTCGGGGAATTTCTCTCTAACAACTGCTAGACTGATCCAGATTGGATCCTGCAAATAGACAAGATACAAACTGAATTTTAGACTTCAATGAAAGAGAGAGCGAAGAAAAATAACAGGAAAAATTGATATGTATCTAAAGCAGTAATAAAGTTTTTTGTTTTTTTTTTGTTAGAGAGTCCATGAATCCAAACCAGTAGGTTTAGAATTCTAGGAGAGAGAAAGCTAGTGTCAATATTCATGCTTAGTATTTCTTGTCTGGACTACCTCAAAGGGCTGACAGATACGGTAGACATTAAATCTTATGAGTATCTACCCAAGAAAATAAAAATCAATTCAATTAATCAAATGGACCAGCATCATAAAAATACCCCATTGTGGTATTTCATGGTTTTAGTCACTGACACGCTTTAAAGAATTACTGTAAATTTTGCTCTGGGTTATTATGAAGAACGCTGGAGTTGTCCAGGTGTGCAATTCAGGGCTAGCACAGTCAAGAGTGATACATCAATCTTGCAACTGACTTACAGAAAAGACGTAGGTTAAAGAGGTTGAACAGCTTACCTCGTAGCCAGTCCTGTGCTTCTAAAGACAGTCTGTTGCTCAGATGTGCAGTATCAGAAGGAAAAACCCTCAAGTATGAGAGGAGCAAAATTATTCAAACCTTTATTGTCAGAGTACAACATGGGTACGATCTTATTCATCTCACTCATCTCTGACAATAAAGTTTTGAAGTTGAACTTGTTTTAAGCAAAAAAAAAAGTCTTGAGTTTGTTCTTATTTGGGTTGAAACGTGTCTGTTCATGTGCTACTCAGCTGTAAAATGAAGCCAAGAAAGCTAAAGGAGACTGAATGGTTTTACTCAGCAATGAGGAGATCAGGAACCCCAAAGCGCCTTCTTACTAGGTCTGTAGAATAAAGCTTAAAAATTGCAAGGGGGAGGAATGTTTAAACCCCTTCTGGGATTAAACTGAATGTGACATGGAAGGGCAAAGAGTTTGCTTCTGAGTTGCTACAGCTTGTCCTTGGCACTTGGCACTGTCATGTGGCAGACTATAATTCAGATGATTTTTGGTTTCTTCAGTATTGTTTTTTCCTGTATCAGTCTAGTACTTGAGTGTGTTGTTTATCCTCCCACACTTTGCATTACTGCATTAGGCATATGAAACAGAAACTTGAGGCTTCCTTCAGCTGCCTTTACAAGGACCAGGGGGTTCAATGTACAATGTGGGCTTCTACTGTTTAAAGCCTGCAAAACTATATACATTCATTTGAAACAATGACTTATGAATTATAACTCAGTTATAAAAACTTTAGTTCACAGTATGTCATCTTTACAAAATTAAAAAAAATCTTTTTTATACAGTTTAATGCTGCTCTCTGCAGGAAGAGAACAGAAAATTCTGTTCCGGTTTAGGACAATTATTCTCGCATGCTTTAGTTTTGCCCAATTAAATCAGCACAAAGTTGAACTTCTGCCAGCAACTTGCCAATGGCCCCATGATTCATCTGAAGCCACTCCCTCTTTACAGAAAGAATAAAAAATGAATTATCACATTTGTCATTCTCCCTGCCCCATGACCCATATTTATTTATTTTTATTTTATTTATTTATTCTATTTTGTCAAGTGATTATAAGATAGCAGATATAAGTATAAACATGGTTATGAATACATGAAATGGATACATATAAGAAAAAAAAGGAAACAATAGGACAGGGACGGTAGGCACGTTGGTGCGTTTATGCACGTCCGCTATAGACCTCTTAGGAAAGGGGTGAGGTCAATAGTAGAAAGTCTAAAGTTAAAGTTTTGGGGGTTTGGGGAAGAAACCACAGAGTCATGTAGAGTA